CAATACAATAAAACTCTGAAATGAAGACTTATTTTCAGTGCATTGTTTTAAAGATTACAAATAGCTATTCTTAAACTTGCTTATTCCAAATAAAGACATATCACTGTCAATTTTTTAAAAAGATAGTAGAGTATTACATTGTTTTTTTAATACCATGCTTGGATCTAAAAAGGAAGATTTTTAAATGGTTAAGAACATTACCTTCTTTTGTCACTTGACAAGATTCATAAACACTGATGGCACAGCATCATCATTTTTCTTACCAATTAAAAACAATTATTGTGAAACTTAAAATGTTTAAAATATTTTTTTCCTTTTTGAAACAGCATATTTTAAGGTAAAATGACTTATAAGTTTGGTTTTTTTGCTGCTGCTTGTAAGGCAGGTAAAATAATTATGGCTTGCATGTTTCCGTAAGCATTCTTGTGCTTTATTTGGGATGAGGAAGTTAAGGCAATTGAAAATAGTCTTAAGTGGTTCAAAGTTTCTTCAAGGATCAAAGAAAGAAAACCATAGGCAGAAATTCCACATTAATGATCAAGGGAGTTTATGGATGTGTTTGTGGAAGTCTTACTCTAAGTACCCCTTGAATTAGATGCTGTACTGTTTTATTCTCTACTAGTGAAAAAAAATGCCTCTCCACCTTTGGGAGAGTGGCTGTTACTGTTTTGAGATTGGGTAATGAGGGTGAATATGTTGAAGAAGAGGATGTAGAACCAGAAGAGTGAGGAGAGTCCAACCATTTCATAATGAGAGACGCTTTAAAGACCTTGTCTTTTGTAGTCTGGAGCACGCTTCGAGGGATCATCAGTTCATGTGGTAAATTGTTTACTGAGCCCTTACCAGGCACTGAAGACTCATGATCTGAGTATAAGCAATAATTCAGTTTCTAATCCACCCAGTTGTACCAGCTTGCACTCATTTTTCTTTCTTGTTCACGAGAACTTTTGATCATGAGAGACTTGGCCAAGTCTTCTGTACTTCACATAGGTTTCCTGGGGCAGTTAATTTTGTATTCCTGTCAAAGCATTTTCATGAGCCCTTGCTGTCTCTCAGCAAACACCACTTTCCTTTATAAATGAACATACCTTTAATAATGTATTCCACAATACTCTCCAGGATTAATGCAAGGTTTACTGGTTGTAATTTGTGGAAGCCACCTTTTCATGCTTCAAAAATTAGATATGTAGTCCTTAGCTGATTCCTCAAAGATGACTGACAATTGAGGTTCACCCATCTCAGTGGTAGATTGTTAGTTCCTAGGCATGTGATTTGGTACCTGGATGCTCTCATAATATCTACTCATCTTTACCTTTTCCAGTGTTTTATGAAATTAAGTCACTTACCAAGAGAAAGCAGAAATATAATATTTGCATTTGACAGTATCCCACTTGTTCTTTCCCTTGCTCTGAGTTTGCTTTGTTCCCCCCATTAATCTGGTTTGGGTGGCCCTAGCCATATTTCTATTTTTCCTGCATGCCCAGCTGAAACGTAGTTAGCCTGGCTTTGTAATCCTTTCCAGCTTTAGTCAGACTGCACCCTGTGTAGCCACAGCTGTTTATTTAGGAATTCTTTTTTCCCTTGTTACAATTACTTTTGCTATTGTGTGATTTATCTTTAAGAGCGTTCCACCTCTCTGAAACCATTAGTGTAACACACTGTGGTTTTTATCTGTATCAGCAACTCCTTGCTGTTGGTACAGATTCTCCTGCATTAAAAATCTTACGTAACAAATGTAGTCTGTTTAGCAGTTATTCTACTTGGTAACAATACTATATCATGCCAACATGTCCTATTAGTGTTAAGGAGGTATGGGGTAGAAACTTAACTTGAATGTCTGAATCTGAATTTTATTAATAATGTTTGACGATTTTCACAGTATTTAACTGATAGTACCCACTCCCTATCCCAGGATAGAGGAGAGTTGGGTCACAGGCTGTACATAAACTGCTAATTTGTTTGAAGTTTGAATTACTTTTCATGGGAAGGGGGTAGTGATAGGAAATGACCAGATGATCCACTTTTGAGACATACCAGGTATTACTGAAGCATTTGAGAAGCCTCATGGATTACACCATGAATTGCGAGACCTACCAGTCAAGTTTAGATACCCAGGTAATGGTCTTACACAAAGCAGCAGAGTGCATGGCAGTTTGTAGTATGTGTCTTTTAAAGCCTGTTCAGTATTTTCCAGCTTGAGGACCACTTATGTTAATAGCTCTCATCTTCTCTGCAGATCAACAACATATTTTGAAAATATTTCAGATAATTGCATAGAAAGGAAATGAGATATAGATACACTTTGAAACTAGCAAATTATTTTCCTTGATATAACACTTCTCTTTTCCTCCAATTATATATATTTATGAACAGTGTTCATGGAATATTATTGCCATAGTACTAAGAATGACTTCTGTGGATTTCTTCTTACACCCTGGAGGAGGGGGGGCTTTCATTTCAGGTATGGCTATAGCATAGCAGCATCAAGCCCATTAAAATAATCTATTTAAAAGTTTTCATCTAAGTTACTTATTTAAAATGTGCATCTCTCAATAATCAGTTGTACAGTATAATTGGAAATCAGAAGTTCTGACAGCCGAAATATTTTAAAACAACACTCTTTTCAAAGGGGAAAGATAGTAATGTTGAATAATTTAAGCTCTTTTGTTCAAACCAGTCATTGATCTGGTCAGACCAGCAGCTAACGAGTCTCTGGCACTAGTGTTATAGCTTAGCAGATGGTTCTGAACTAATACTCTGGGGCGATGCTAAGTGAGAAAATGGGGTTCTGTTTCTGGATATGTTGAATAGCTTTCTTAGAACAATTTTACTTTGATTAAAATTAATGGTTTTAAAGCTAAATGTCTAAGAGGAGTAAACAACTCTGCTGCTTGTTCTGCTTGTTTTTGGAAAATAGTATTAACCACCTAAGGTGATCTGGGGGATTGGAGTGAAGGTTTTACCCTACTTTAGTTTCATTGATGCACATTGTGGAAGATGTAGAGAACATCTTGACGTGGAAAAGAATGAATAAGTCAATGTTCATTGTACAGTGCTTTCCTAAATTTCTTTGGTTATCATGTTCTTATATTCTGGAGAAGAAAAATGTCTTAAATAATAAATTGATGACTAGGTAGATCTTAAAACTACTAAGGGAAACACAGAATATAGTTAGCCATCTGTGCTCATGGTTTGTTAGATTTAAAATCTAAGTTAACCTTAATGGTGCTGTCCACCATCCAAAGACCTGTACGCCATGTACAGCCCTTATGTCGTCCTGCCTTCTTAGAGCTTGCTTGCTTGATTTTGCTTTTGTATATTTAATAAAAACTGTCTCAAATGTTTCCTTGTGTAGTTTGTGGATAACAGTTGAGTTTGTGTTGATTCTATTTCAGCAACTAACTGGCTTGTGTATGACCAGGATTCTAGCTGGTCTCTCTGTCTCCCCTCCCCCATTGTTTTGAGGGCTGTCCTGCAGATTAACCAGAGAAAATGCTTTTCCAAGAATGTTGGAATTACATGTTATTAAACTTAATTGGATAATTATATTTGAGTAGTGACATCCCATGTTTCTTTGTTATGGAATAATTGATGTTTTTCCTTATACCTAGTATTAAAATAGTTTAGTCAAGCATTTTAAATGCGGAACGCTTAACCAGCACTTGTAGTGGAAATTGAGATACGTGCACTTTGAAAATTCAGTTGATTATTAAAGGATTTGATTAGTCCATGCCAATACTTATCTTCCATTTTCTTAAGTATTCATGAGTAAGCTATATGTTTATATTGGGAGAAAGCTAATATAAGATTTGGTAATGTCAATTTCAATGACTGTTTAAAGTTTAACGGAATATTGTGATTTTTAAACTGTATTTGGTTATAATACCAAAATCATGAGGAAGGTCAGTCTATTATTACAGCCTGTACTTTAAAAAAAATAAATAACTTGCTAGCTATAACTTTTGGCATTTATTACCTTGGGTAAGAAATCCCTAGGGATATGCAATTCTCCCACCTTCCTTCATAGTCTTATAAAACCTTAAGTTCTAGAAACACTGTGTATATAAAAGTATTAAAACATTGATTTTATATTATGGTACATGCTGGCTCTCTGGTCTGAAGTTCCCAAATAGCACCAGTAATTGTTTTATTCTCTAATGAAATTAAAGTAGTCCATCAGAGCAAGAAGAATGACAGAGTAAGACTTTGGGTAATTATATGATTATTTAAAATTAAGGGTTGATGTAGTGAAATTTGCTTTGTCTTGTGTGGAAGTGCCTCTGACTGTTGGTCACGTTTGTGACTACCAGTAGCCAAGAGAGCCATGGCACTCTGCAGCAGTGAAACCACTGAGGTCTCTTAACTTTGACTCACTGTATGATCCTTGTCTACAAATGACTACTTTTGGTAGCTCAACATGGAATTTAAAGACAAAAAGACATGTTCAGTAGCATAGAGTGAAGTGAAGGAGTGGGAGACTGGAGACTTAATCTGTAGATAAGTGCTTTTATAAAATAAATGTGGAGGAGGGAGTAAATTCATTCTGTGTAGTTCCTAGGGTGAAAAAATGAATGCTGTAAAAACAGAGCAGCTGTCTGAACCAACTGGAAGATTCCAGCAAATGCTGGATAAACACCTGTTGGGATGATCTGTATTGGGAGGGAGGTGACGAGGTGATTCAAAGGATCCCTCACAATTCTGTATGTCTATGAAGTAGAGAAAACAGTGGGAGAAATTTCAGAGGAATAGAGGGTAAGAGTTATTTAAATAATTTTAGCATGGCTACTCATACCAATTTTCATATGTATTACTATGTCATATGCTACCCAGTAGTTACTGATAATATGAGGTAAGAGTGTGGTAAAAAATAAAAATATATTTTTCCATATGCTTTTTTCAGCATTGCTTCCAGGTAAAATATATCAGAGCAGCTAGTGATTTTTAAAAGGAATATTGTATACCAGTTTTTCTATCTCCTATAAGAGATGAAAGAGACACAATGAAATTTGTCAATAAAAGCTTTAAGAATATCTGCACATATACATCTACATTCATTACATTCCATTTGATAACAATAGTAGTTTCATTTCAATGCGAATGTTAGAGAACTCAAATTTCTGCTATGGTCATATATATATGCTATTTGAAATTCTTTTATCTAGATACAGATCTTGATAGTGAATCTCTCGATGATAGGTGTGCAGCTAGTTTGTCCCGGAACTCATGAAGATAATTATATTGCTGAAAAAAGTAAAGATATATTGAAATACATTGTAGAAAGCTGATTACCAGAGTAGTCATACTAGTCGGAATCGGGAATCAAAAAAATACTTGATAAAAACAGTTCTACATCCTTTTGTGTAAGGAGGTATTTCTATCTTGAGGAAGTTGTATCTTTCAATAAAGCTACATATAGTGTGAAAAACTTGTTTTAAAAATCTCTAAAAATTAGGAGGTAGCATGAAATAACGGCAGTGTTTTATAAATCTTTAAAATCCTTTCTCCCTTTACTGGCAGGAGGAAGTAAGATTAAAAACACACGAAGATATTCTTTTCGCTAACGCATTTTCCCCTGGGGAGTAAGTACAGGGGAGAGGGCACTTTCTGCAGCAGTTAACGGCAGCGTATCCAAGAAAATCTATTTCTTAATTTACAGAGCCTTAGTTTTCTGCTTTTGGTGATGATAAAATCCATTTGGAACAATTTTCATAGTAGATAATATTAAAATATTAAATTAAAATAAAATCACTGATCTTAACAGATAAGCAAAATAAAATCTTTAAATAATTCATTTGGAGTTTTAATAGCTGCCCAGAGGATATTCTCGCTCTGCCAAGAATCTCATTTTGTATTACTGTTCAGAAATTGAAATTGCATACTGCTAACTTACCTCAGCACAGAGATGGAAAAAGCACGTTTGCCCCAGAATGCTGAGGTGATAATTAATATGGGCTTAATTCTCTCTACGATTAAAGATGTAAAACACGCATATACATATGTTTGACCATGTATTCTGTTTCGTGTCAAAGAGACACTTGGGAACATGTTGATAATAAAGATAATAAAGGGAGCTGCTTCTCTGTTTTCAGAACCTGCTCCTCAGACTTCGTCCTAAAGTTGAGACTGGGTAATTGGGAAAGGAAGGCAAGTTAGCTTTACAGATCTACAAATCAATAATATCCTTGGGGCTTTGCTACTGCAGTGTTTTGGTGTTAAATAGAAAGTTAATGTGAAAGATGTCACTTAGGTTATCCACAGCAAAGGGTAATTAGCATGGTTTTACTTTGTTTTCCTATTATAGTCATTCGTCTATCTTTGTTAATTGTTTTGGTGATACAGTAATAGGATCTTCATGAGATCTTTTTGGTCAAAAATATACCCAGGAAACTACCAAGTTTATAGTAACTGCCTCATTTTTCCAGGTGAGAGGATCCATTCCCAGAACAGAATGGGCAAAAACTGAACAGTAGTGGATCTTGAAAGAGTAAACTGGAAAGTTCAAATTTTTCATTATTTTGTTTGAAAAACTGAACTTTTTCAGACATCCAGGTTATACTTAAATGTAAATTTTTAAAAAGTCAAAATATAAACAGGTGATACATGAATAATAAAGTGCTTTGGATTTTCATTACCCTTTTGGTGAGGTGTTACACTGTGACGGTCTGCCCCTGACCACAGCCTCACGAGAATGGTCACCCTCCTTACCTTTATGGTCTGTATTGCTCCAGAGCCTCTCAGGTCCCTCAGGCTGTCGATGGCTTGCTGCGGTGATATTGTGTCAGACAGGTATAGGAGGAGACAAGCGGCTACTAAATAGAACACGAGACAAAAATTGTGTGCTACGTGTAATATATATTCTTATAGTATATTATAAAGTAATGATATGCTTATACTTCAGACTTCTGTTCGTGCAGAAGACTGAGTTTGGGAAATGAATTAAAAGACTGAGGACTTCTAGTATGTGTTTTTGACAAATTATGATTTTAAATGACTGTGGTTGGATTAAAATTTAACACTGGCTTCATTCTTTTTAAACAGCTTTATTGAGTTATTATAATTCACATCCCATACAATTCATTCATTTAAAGTGCACAATTTAGTGGATTTTAGTGTATTCGCAGTTAAATGCAGCCGCCACCACAGTCAGTTTTAGAACATTTTCATCACCTCAGAAAGAAACCCTGTATACTTTTGTTATCATCCCTCTATCACCCATCACCCCTCCCCTAAGCAACCACTAATTTACTTTGTCTTTATGGATTTGCCTGTTCTAGACATTTCATGTATATGGAATCATACGTGGTCTTTCGCGACTAGCTTCTTTCACTTAGCATAATGTGTTCAAGATTCGTACATATTGTGGCACATATCAGTACTTCATTCCTTTTTATGGGTGAATAATATTCCATTGTATGGCTATACATTTTGTTTATCCATTTGTCAGCTGATGGACATTTAGGTTGTTTCCATTTTTTGGCTATTATGAATAATGTGGCTATGAGTGTTAGTGCACAGGTTTTGTCTGGACCTGTTTTCATTTCTTTGGGGTATATGCCTAGGAGTGAAATTGCTGGGTCGTATGGTCACTCTGTGTGTAACTGTTTGAGGAAGTACTGCCTGGCTGTTTTCCAAAGCAGCTGCACCTTTTTCACTCCCACCAGCAGTGTATTTAGGTTCCAGTTTCTCTACAGCCTCTCCAAAGCTTGTTCTCCATTTTTTGGATAACAGCCATCCTAATATTAGGGTGTTAGGTGGTATCTCACTGTGGTTTTGATTTGCATTTCTCTGAGGACTAAGATGTTGAGCATTTTTCCATGCGCTTATTGGTCATTTTTATATTTTGTTTGGAGAAATGTTTATTCATATCCTTTGCCCATTTTTAAATTTTTTAATTGTCTTTTTACTATTGAGTTGTAAGAGTTCTTTATATAGTCTGGGTAAGTCCTTTATCAGATATATGGTTTTGCAAATATTTTTTTCCCCATTCTGTGGGTTGTCTTTTCATTTTGATAATGTCTTTGAAACACAAAACTTTGTAATTTTGATATTGTCCAACACTAAAAGGAATAACTGTTACTCCCACTGTGGTATTTCATTAGCTGTTTCCCCCCCAATACATTTTTTAAAAGTTTAAAGTTAACATATATAACCTTGTTTTTATGCTTATATTACCCATGGATATTATTTAGAAGTTACTGTCAATATCTTAACACCTGCAAAGGGAGAACATTAGAAAACAAAACAAAACAAAACACAAGAATGCAGGTGCTAAGACCTGTAAATTATGTTTTGTAGAATCCTCCAAAACGATGCTGAAAATACCTCTGACTCCCACCCAGGCTTTCTAGGGAACACCAAATTTAGGGCTTTAAATAATCCTTTGGGTCTTAGCAGATATATATTGTGTTTCGTCTCATTTTCATACAAAGTGAGCATATGGCCCAGAAACACGAGTTTTCGTACTTCGAGGTAAAAAACAACAACAACTGAATAATAGAAATATATTTCTTACCAAGACAGGATCTCCCAAGTCCTCCATAACAGCTGAAAGGGAAGTACAGTTTTGAAGTTTGTACATTTTCATTCCATCCCAACAATTACAACCGGAGACTTGCTCTTTCTGCCTTCTATTTCTACTCTAATGCCTAGCACAGTGCCTTGTACCCAGAGATTAATAAATATTTTTGAATAAATCAATCAAGAGCAAAGTGTGCTTATTTGTTTGTTGGGAGGTATTCCGTACACCTATAAGGGACAAAGAAGGCAGGGCCTTTTTATTGACCTCTTTAAACATCTGAGGAGTGGAACGTGTTACTAAACTGATAGAAATCAGACTACTTTTACCAACTGCCACTTAATTTTTCTCTAAACAAAACCTTAGTGGTTATGGGACAGGTCCGTATGATAATTCTTCATTCATCTAGAAACAGTAAAGAGGCAGTGTATCCTAGAGGTTTAAAGCCTGGGCTCTGGAGCCTCACCGCCTGGGGTTGAATCCTGAATCTGTCACTTATTAGATGTGTGAACCTAAGTTATTTAACCTCTCTGGGCCTCAGCCTTTTCACCTATAAGATGGGGCCGGCAACAGTACCTATGTCACAGTGAGGGCTGAAAGAGAACATTTGTAAAGCTCACAACAGAGCTTGGCACAGAGTAAGAGGTAAATGAACGTTAGCTGCTATTACGTAGCATTGTGAAGAAATGAGCAGTTCTGTATAACTGGATTTTCTGGAAAAACAAGGACTGATTCTTAAGCAATAAAACCATTCATCAGTTTCAAAGATCCTAAAAAAGTGCATTCCATACTTCCTAACTTTCTCAGAGGGTGTACTGATCCTAATTTAGTGCTGACAACTCATCATGAGCATCAGTTACTGTGGTGTATTTGTAGATGGAGCTGTAGATACATGTCTTGTGATAGGATGTGAAACAGAGGACCAAACAGGTACTGACCCCTGTATAACTGATGAACTTGCTTTCTACAAAGTGTCCCAGCTGTAGGCCTGTTTCAGAGATGAGGCTCTACTGTATAAAGGTAGAGAGAGGTAGAACATTTTAGTGGCTTTCTGCGAGATTAAGATGTACCACTTTTGGGACTTCCCTGGTGGCGCAGTGGTTGAGAATCCGCCTGCCAATGCAGGGGACGCAGGTTCGAGCCCTGGCCCGGGAAGATCCCACATGGCGCGGAGCAACTAAGCCCGTGCAGCACAACTACTGAGCCTGCGCTCTAGAGCCCACGAGCCACAACTACTGAAGCCCGCGCGCTTAGAGCCCGTGCTCTGCAACAATAGAAGCCACCGCAATGAGAAGCCCCGCACCGCAACGAAGAGTAGCCCCCGCTCACCAAAACTAGAGAAAGCCCACGCGCAGCAATGAAGACCCAACACAGCCAAAAAAAAAAAAAGAAAAGAAAAAGATTACTTTATATCTTGCTAGCTTTATCTTTACTCCCGTTTGATTGATTCCTACTCATCCTTCAAAACCTAGCTCAAATTTCAACTTCTGAAATGCCTCTGTGCCCCCATAGAAACCACTGCCATCCTGTGTACTGCCTCGTATACACCTGTTTTGAGTATTATTACACTTACATGATAGTGGTGTTGGCTGTGGGTTCCTTGAGAGTGGCGACTGTGTCTAGAGTGTGTGTTTTATATTCACAATGTTTCATACACAGTAGGTGCTATGGGTTGAACTGTGCCCCCCCCCCGTTGTACCTAATTTCTGGTACTGTGCATGTGACCTTATTTGAAAATAGGGTCTTTGCAGATATAATCAAGTTAAGATGAGGTCATTAGGGTGGGTCCTAATCCAATATGACTGGTGTCCTTTTAATAGGAAACACCATATGAAAACACAGACACACAGGGAGAATCATGTGATGACAGAGGCAGAGGGGGGTGATGCAGCCATGAGCCAAAGAATGCCACGGATTGCCGGCCACCACCAGAAGCTAGGAAAAAGTGAGGAAGGACTCTATCCACGTTTTCTGACTGAAGATAGCCCTGCTGACACCTTGATTTTGGACTTCTAGCCACTAGAACTGGGTGGCAATAAACTTCTGTTTTTTAAGCGACCCGGTCTGTGGTCCTTTGTTACAACAGCCGCAGGAAATGATGTAACAAAATAGGCGAGCAGTGTTCACTGACTTTATAAAGGAACAAAAATGTCCAGGGAGGACAGACAACAGAACAGGGAAAAAAATGTACCAGACCCTGTTTCTGAGGGATAAACTCTAGAGCTGTTTAGCAGTGTGGGCACCCAAAGATAGTAGAAAGGATAGAAAATCATCTTTGTCCAAACAAACATTAGTCGCTGTAGGGACACCTTTGAAAGCTCTAGGACAATGAAAATTTCCAGTCATCAGATGCTTTATTTTATGGGCGCCTGAAGCATTTGACATATGCAGGATTGCCCATCCACCTTTCCATTCTGTTTGTATTCAAACACCAGAGCATTTGGTTTGCTAGAACTTGCTAGAGTAGATTTTGTTAAGCTTTTCTAAACTGAGCTAGTTTGATCTGTGGTAATCTTTCAGTAGAGGCTGCTTTCAAAGATGCGTTTGAAACAAAATCTCAGAATTGGTTTGAAAATGGGTTCAAAACCTGTAAAGTATTTTTCACTGGCTCCATCTAACCACCTAATGCTATTTTACTTAGAGTTATCAGAAAATGTAGCACAGGCAACTATTTATTCTAAAATTTTGCTTCTACAATTAGTACTAGATGAGAGATGATGTGTTTCTATAACATTTGGGAACTGTAGGATGTAGGATGGCTTCTAGTTCTTTTTCCCCTACTTTGCAGGTGATAGTTCTCTATATCAGAGTTTACTTTGGTCACAAACAGATATGTGTCCCCTTGTACTGGTTGGTTTGCTTTCAGAACATGAGCTACTGGCATGAAGCCCTGGAGCTCTTGATCTAAGGAGAGAGAAGCTGGCTGGGCTTGCCCTTCTCCAAGGTGCCTGAGACTACTGAGTTATTTGGTAGTCTGTATACTTTCTAGCTCAAAGCAATGACCTTAGAGCTTTTGAGGTATTACACTACTTAATGCTCTATCTTGCTCCAGAAAGGATTAAGAAGATTAGGATGTAAAAAAACAAACAAAGAAACATCCCCCAAACCGAAAAAACAAAAAAAAAACCCAATAAGCACAAAGACCTATGTTTAGTAAATGATGAGTTCTCTTTGCTCTTCACAAATACCTCCTCACATATTAGAATAAGTCTATAGTTTCCTCCTTGTGGCTGGCTCCCCTCTGCTCTGTGGGTCTCACTTCTGGTATAACTAACGTTCCTTTCCACGGTACCACTTAGCGTCTTTCCAATGCTACTGTCTACTGCTGATTGTCACTTTCTTCTTCCTTTCTCCAAGCTACTTTTTTCCTTTCTTCTCATTTTTTCCCCCTTAATCCATTTTCTTTTGTTTTAAACTTTCATACCAGCAGCTTATTTACAGCCACTGACAAACGATGAGAGTCCCTCTTTCATTCAGGTAGCAAATTCATATCATCAAATACAATTTTCAAGTCCTGTTTTTAGGATTGCTCATTGCTTAGGGATAATTCCTTTGCTAATTTTTTAAAAATGGAGTTTCTTGCTGTTGGAAGAAACTAAACAACTGAAAGGCCGACCAGTAGGTATGGTGTTACATAACAGGAATGATGCCCTCACCTTTTTGGGAAGGAGAGGGTCCCAAAATCATGAGTAAAGGTCTAAGACAAAAGGAAAGAAAGCGAAAAAAAAAAAAAAAAAAAAGCCGGTTACCCTATCCTAAACATTTCCTAATCTACTCATCTATTGTCCTTACTCTTCAAAAGTAATAATGGCAAATATCTGAGTGCTTGCTCTGTGCCAGGCATGGTGCTAGTACTTTTCATGTATTATCTCCTTTTGATCCTTGCAACAAACTATAAGGTAGGTAATAACTGCATAAGGATGCAATAATTTGAGAAATCATTTTGACTGGGACATTTTTCATGTAATATATGGAGAAAAGGAAAACATACTGTATTAAGGTTTTTCGGTTATTTTTAAGGCAGATTTCAAGCTCCTCCATTATGTCACAGCAGCTGGCTATGTCAGGAGTCCCTCCATCTGGAATCGGATGATGATGAGTGATAATTCCATACTGATGGTAGAGGCCCACAAGGTTTGGAACTCTATATTTTGACAGTTCCCCTCTGGTGCAGAAAACAAATATGTCTTGTATACCATAGCTCTTTAGTTCTTCTGCCAATAGACCAAGATACACAAGGACACACATGGACAAAACATTACAAATTTAAATACAGTCGGGAGGGAAAATATGGAGTTAAGTTCCTTAAGCCAAACAAACTAAGTAAATGACAAGTGATAACCTCTGAAGTGCTCATTGATAATCTAAAACAATACTGATCTGTCTTCAAACTAGGGTAAAAACCAAGTCACTAAGCACAAAATAGTAATTAGAAACATCTGAACCAAAAGGTTATTAAAATGAAACCTGACTTTATAAGTCAAAATGTTTTTTTACTGGATTGTAAGACATCCATTATATTGCTGTTTTGAAAAAAAATTTTTTTTACAATAAATACTGCTTTAAAATAAATTGTAAAAACACCTACTATTTCAAAATAAGAAGGAATGATAGCACACTTTTTCCCATTTTCTTCTCACCAAATCAATGGTGTTTGCTGTGTACAAGTCTCTGTTATTTTGTTTTAGCCTAAGCACTGTATATAAAATCTCCTGCATAGCCATGGTGCCAGAGCTCTTGTATTCTCACCTATATTTGCACTGTACCACACCATCATGTATTTAATTTTAGGGACTACGTTTCTAGGAAATAAAGCATTAGCTGTATGAAAATTATGTGACTTAGCGAATTTCAGTATAATGATATGAACCAAGCGAGAGTACTGCAGGCCATTCTGTTCACTGGAGCTTCCTTAGGGCAATATTCACTACAGAGCATTTGGTTCATAATGAATAATTCTGACTCATCTGGTTCCCCTTTTTCTCTCCCCACCCACTAAATCCTAGGACATTTAGCTATTTAAGTACAAAGTACTTTTTATCATGAAACTCTAAACCTGTACTTGAAATATGGCTAGTCCAAATTGAGATGTATTGTAAATGTAAAATACGTATCTGATTTCAAAGACCAAGTACCAAAAAACTATCTCAATAATTTGTTTTATACTTAAAACCCATTGAAACGATACTATTTAGCCTATATGAGGTTAAATCAAGTATATTACTAAAATTAATTTTACCCGTTTTTACTTTTTTAATGTGGCCCCTAGAAAATGTCAAAAGTACATATATTGCCTCTATTTGTGGCTCCCAATATGTTTCTGTTGGACAGTGCTCCTCTAGATAACACTATTAAGCTTTTGTACTTGTAAAAGGGTTTAACTTGTAGTTGACATCCATAACCATTTTTAAGAGAGTAGGTAAATTTCCTATTTGCCTCTTGCACGCATTGAATAATTTCTATTATACAGTAGATTTCAACTTTCCCAGAAAGGACTCTGAGGATGGACACAGGAAGTGCTGCCAGGAGAGTCTAGGTCTCCCCCTTCAGACACTGTCATCTGTTTTGTATATTGGATTCCATTTAAGATTTCATTGGAAGAAAAAAAGGTTTGGTAAAAAATTGGAAACTCCTTTTACAGAAGAGACTAAATGAATAGGGCTTTCCAAAATGTGCAAGACTGGTTCTTGAACCAATGATTTCAATGATATTTTGCTTATAACTGAATGTTCTCCAAATGGAAATTTCCTACCATGGTGAGTATCTCTAGAGCAGAAAATCTTTACAAATACTGCAAGGGTCAACTAATCTATTAGTCTTTTCTGGTAGGTAAATTAAAGAAAGTATATTAGCAAATTGATATTCTAGGATAACTAGGACAGAATTTTAAGATTTATAAAATCTATAGTGGTCAGAATCAAACAATATATACATTTTTGTATTGGTTTATTATAAGGACATTGGTAGGACTATCAGGCTTGAGATATTCCAGGCCAACCAGAATAAAATATTTTGGAAGTCTAAATTTGTTAGTATCGTACAATATACAAATTCCAAATTGGGACAGATTATCGGGATATTTGTAGGATTATTAGACTTGAGGCTAAGAGCATCCTTGGGCATGTAGAGATAAGACCCTATTCCATCTTTTCCACCTAGACACTGGTTCTGTAAATTTTCTATGTGGGATGGACAATTTCAATACTACCTCTGGGTTCCCAGCTCAGGCTTAATTTCCAGTATCACAGTCAAGTCTGCAAAGAACAGTATGTTCAAAGATCTGGGCAGTGCAATATCAGCTTTCTATTTACATACTTTTCCCCCTCCAACTTATACATTATAACTCAAATGCAGTTTTTATGTATAGAACTACAAAAATCAGTGAAAAGCAACACTATGTTTAGTAAATGATGAGTCTTCTTTGCCCTTCACAAATACCTATTCACATATTAGAATAAGTCTATAGCTTGAAACTTTATGAAATACCAAACATTTTTTTGGAAAATTCAGGAGAGACTACAGTTTGTTCTTTTTGACAAAGATTTTTAGTATTATTTTTTAAGAACCTATTAAGATGGTTCTGTCATATTACACCTACCTGTATCTTTTTGGATATTTCTTCTAACACCTTTAAATTTACAACCTGTAATAGTAACAAGGCAAGTGCAAGAGTCAGTTTCTGGTCATAAATAACAAGTATATTAAACACATATATAGCTACTGTAGAAAGTCATTACACATGATCATTTATATGCTTCAATTCCATTCTGAATGGGAATTTAAATTTCTTATATTCTTAGGAATATAATTCCAGGGATTCATAGATCCCAGCTGAAGGAACTCTTAATCCAAGGATTCTTTATTCTGTGTCCTTTCTGTAACAGGTAGCTGGCTGTAGTCCTTAGCCTCACATTGTACCCCTGTGTTACATTTTATAAGATAGGTAAATCAGAAATGTAGAACTGTGAATGTGGATGTGGAAGGGTTGAAGAGTGGGTCTACGTTCCTTTCTCTGTAGCCCACCAAGAGGGTTTCCAGAACTGAGTTCCTATGCTGATAGTCTGTGAAATTCTCTTACTGCTCAGTACAGAGAATTATATAAAAAATAATTTCTAATACATCAATAGTGTCACCTACCTGGAAGAGCACATAAACCAAGAAATTGAGAACAGTTCACTCGTGACAGGGGTAGCCTGAAAGGAATAAAACTTTGTCAAGTTTAGTTCAATTTAAAGTTATAGATGGACATTTATACAAACGTGTGTGCCTGCCACTAAATGAAGGTGTTTTAAAGTTTTACAGCAGTCACAAAACAAAAATTCATAGTTAAATATCAATGTATTGGTCACAAAAAGGCTTAGAAAGACTAGGAGTTTTAAAATAGGAACTTATCATTTGCTTTGTTGCAATTTAAGTCTTAAAAGTGGCAAGCTAATTTAAACTAACTTAAAGATAGTAATGCCTAGGTTGCTTACAGCTAGTATAAAGTGTACTTAAGTTATCCTGTGGTTTGTTACCTGAGATATTTTGTGTTAGTAACCTTAGGAAATAAGCTGGAAAATGACCATCTGGCGATTTCATCTTCAGCATTCATTCAAAATTACTATTTTAAGATTTCTTTATAGGACTTCCTTAAACAGATACAATTTCATAGAATAAAAACCACTGGCTACCTATTCTTTGTTGTAATGGATTTTGGTTAAAATGAAATAATTTCAAGAAATCCTATTCCCAGTTTGCAGTGCCTGGGGACAAAGCGGGCAGAGGCTCACCTTGTCTGCAAAACAGAAGATGAATTTAGAGGAAAATATGGGGCATTGTATAAATACCACCTGACTTTGAAAATTAGATGAGTTTTTGAGTTTGAAGGCGGCTTAGAAGGGGAAATGAAAGTTAATTGCTATTTGATGGCAGAACAAAAGAACTATAGGGACAACACTTTTTTTCTCTTCCTACAGCAGGGTCAGTGCTTAAAGAGAGAGATTATTACACTTGCAGCGATTGTAGAGAATCTGCTGTAACCGTAAGTCACTGCCAAAATTCAGAAGTTGATTTTATACAAAAACATTTGTTTTTGTTATTGTATCTATGGTGATGTGGCTTTCATCTTAAACAGGGTCTGCTGATAGATGCATTATTGTGGCAAGTAGTTCTAGGACTGGAATAAATGATAACATAGGTTATCTCATCCTATGTTTGGTACACTATTCTTTTGTTGTAAAAGAATAAGAAGGTTTTGGTACTAAATGGGAGCTCATTCAAATCTTAACTCCTTGTTTCTACTATGGTTTTCTCAATGTATAAGGAAGGAACTCCCACCACTCCCCTTACCCCCCCCCCAAAAAGCTTTATTCTACCATAGATAAGAAAGATAAGAATTATATAATCAGCAGAGGAGAATCATTTTCAATATGCAGACTAAATTCTACAAAGATTATTATGTACACATCAAATATTTTAGCTCGTCATTGATCAGAAAGGTTAACATACCATGATATCTGAATTGGAGTCTGTTCGTCTTCAATAGGCTCTTCGTCTGATGAGTCAAACTCACTTGTTTGCAATGAACTAGGCTTCAAAAGAAATCAGTTATGTTAAATAACTTTAAAGAATATTTACATATAGTTTTAGTATAGCTGATCCTTGCTTAAAGACAAACTGATGCATATTTGCAATTTACTCAAACCTGGAATATCAGAGAGATCAGCGATATCAATAATAAGCTATTGCTGTTTACTGTCCTATTAATAATTACAGCCCCATGTAGTGGAAAGAGTGTTGGATTGGGAACCAAGAAACCTGTCTTCCGGTCCTGGCTCTGCCACTTACTGTATAAACTTGGACAAGCGATGTCAGTTTCTACTGGATCTCAGTTTTCCAAAACTATAAAGTGAGATTTATTCATTCATTCATTCACAAACATTTCTTGGACACCTTCATTTGCCAAGCTCTGGAGATGCAAAGATCCATAAAATAAACAGCCTGCCTTCAGTATAATTGGAGAGACAATGTGTAAATAGATTCAAAAAAGTTAGAAGTGCTAAAATGGCACTATGCCCTTCAGAGCAGGCAAGGGAGTGACTGACTGCTTAGGCAGCTGGAGAAAGCTTCACAGAGGAGAGATCCATTAGTTGGGTTTTGATGGATGAGCAGGAGGTTTTTAAGCAGATAGAGAAGTTAAGGCAATTAAGGCAAAAAGAGAAAGGGCTTTGTACAGTATATTCCCTTGGTGTCCGCGGGGGGTGGGGGGGATTGGTTGGTTCCAGGACCTCTCCCCCCACCGCGGGTTCCAAAATTCCCAGATGCTCAACTCCCTTACATAAAACGGACCAACATGGGACAGCTGGTCCTCTGCATCCACGGACACCGAGAGCTGACTGTATCCAGGAACTGTGACATCAGAGCAGAGAAGAGGAAGCTAAAGAAGTAGTTTTCTCTACCCCATTTCTCAATAAATAACCCCCAAACAGCCTAGCAATTTGGTTGGTGGGTGGGTGGGAGTACAGGTGGAATAACATGTCCCTAACTTTGTGAATCACTGGACTAGAGAGACTGAGATGAACTTTGTGTGCTGATCTAAGGAGTTGAAAATCACGTGGGAAGCATTTCTACATGGAAGATGTGTTACAGGACCAATAAAAAACACACCTTTCTTCTACTTCCTAGTTGGAACCAACTGAGGGATGAGACACTGGAGAGGCAAATGGAGATCAATATATCAGTTTTATTACTGACTGTCAGGTGGAGGATGGAGGATGTGGCTTTAAAGCTGAGGTCAAGTGGGCTTGTCAATTCTTCACTCCAGAATTGGACTTATCCACCCAGGCACAGGCAGTGATGGACAACCCGTGGCTCCCCTGTGGCAGAGAGCACCCCAGATAGTACTCTCTGCAAAGAGAAGGGAAGGAACACAGCTACTTGTGTTCAGTTCCTCCCAAACTCAGGGATCAGATCACTCACTCTTCCCCTTCTGGGGATAAGTGTAGAAAAGAGGCCAGGAGTGAAGGAGAGCTGATGTCCCTCCACATGGAAATATGGGGATTAGCAAGTGTAACTGCCTAATGTCTTTTCTAGCTCTGAAGCTATATTCTATTCTATAATGGTCTTATTTGTAACTACCAGATCACTTTACAGAGCCAATTTAGGCCATGGATTTGAGTTGCTTTGGATCTATCCGTGTTATTATTATCAACTCAACTCAAATGGAGCCCCTTCAACAGGTTGTTAGCTCTGTTGGTAGGTGATGTGAGTCAGGTGGGGCTTCAGATCCTTAAGCCTGTGTTTTCTTTCTTTAAGGCAGTTTTGATGATTCAAGAGTTTCAGTTTGCGTGGCCCATTCACTCAGGCTCTCCCAGTCAGCTTTACAAATCCTAACAGAGTTGGATGTTTCCGCTTCCCCAAGCCCAGAGATTCTTAACTCCAGGGAAAGGGACGCAGTGCCAGGTGGCCCCGTGGAATGGTGGCCGTGGTGACACACCCACAAGCTGGAGGGGTGTTAATCATCTTCCAGGAAGTTTTCCCCGTCCGCGGAGAGGACTGCTCCCCAGGGGGCCCAGGGCATCCCAGGATATGCTTTGGGGCTGGGGTATCAGGCTGAATGATGCACGGAGACACTTAAGCTCTCTATGCCTCAGTTCCTTCGTAAAAGGGGGCTCAGCCCTCTCTGGCAGGGCTGTCGTGAGGCTTAGGAGACCCTGCATGCGACAGCTCACAGCCCACGACAGGCGCACGGCGAATGTCTGTCTTCCCCTCGCCCGCCTCCGACCCTATTCCTTCGCTGCCATCCTTCTTGCAGGTTCCGGGAAGCGTCACCTCCCCTTCCCTGGACGGTTACTGCGCGAGTCGTGTTGCGACCAGGCTGGGGCTGTCCCCGGGCTCAGTAAGTCGCATCGGGGCCGCTCCCATCCCTGCGGCTCGGTTCCTCCAATCCCCGTCCCCACTCACCGGCTTCATAGCTGGCCGCCAGACAACCAGACCGGCCTCCTCCTACCTCGGGCAGCACCAGCGTTTCAACCTCCGCCCCGCGCCCTCTGCCCCTCAGCTCAGCTCACTGGTTCATCCTTCTGTGAGGTGGGGCGAGGCTTCTTCTTGGAACCAATCGGACACTCCCCCTGTTTCTTACTCCGCCCCCGGTGCCCAGGCTCGACCTCTAACCGCTCATTGGTTCCTACGGGGCCTTTGAAACACGCGCCGGAGGAGGACCCTGCTGAGTGTTGATTGGCTGGGAGGGCGCCCTCCTCCCCCCGGTTGGGAGCGGGGTGGGGCGGGGAGAGGGGCGGAGCGATATCTTCTAAAGGCCGCCACAACGCTGTGGGGATGTTGGAAAGCGGTACTTTCTCGAGGCAGGATCCGAAGTGGTACCAGGGTAGGGAATTTTGTTTGTTCTTTTAAATTATTTTTTAAGGGCATGATGGGAAGCATTGACCTGGAGCATCTTGTGAAAACACACCACATCCTGTAGACTTTATAATTGTGGTCATATCTAGTCATATAAATATTATGGGAACCGCCAAAAATCCAGAATATAAGCATACCTTATCAAACGTAGTATGTTTGATATCTTATATTCCTTACCATTTCAGGATATATACAGGTTGGGATGTAGATCAACCTTCCTGTTAACAAAATATCAATGAAATAGTATGTTATGAAGAGGAGATAAAGTCTTCAGATGGTTTTAAGTGCCAGTTTCTAAGTAATTGGCTATTATCTTAAAAAAATATGTTTGATTATTCTCTCCCCCATTCTCCAGTCCCCATTTAGTTGGCCATGGGGAAGAAGGTCACCTGGAGCAATATTACCTGCTGATCTGACAAAAATATGCAGAGCTTTCAGCTCCCTGACTCATGTTGTGGAAACCAGTGGGTAGAGAGCTAATGGGAAGAATTCTTTAGCAAAGAAGATAGCACAGTTTGACTTAGAGACTGTATTAGTCAGGGTTCTCCAGAGAAAAGAACCAATAGGATATGTACATGAAGAGATTTATTTTAAGCTTGGCAAGTCAAAAGCTGATAGGGGAGACTAGGTGGGGCTGGAGACTCAGGAAAAAGTTGGAGTTGGAGTTCAAAGGCAATCTGCTCTAGAACCAGGAATACCTGATATTGCAGGTGAAGTCCAAAGGCCATCTGCTCCAAAATGCCCGCTTGCCTTTTTGTTCAGGCCTTCAATTGATTCAATCAGGACCACCCACATTATAGAGGGGAGTCTGCTTTCCTCAAAGTCCACCAACTGAAATGTTAATCTCCTCCAAAAACACCCTCACAGAAACATCTAGAATACATTTTGAGCAAATATCTGGGCACCATAGCCCAGCTAAGTATGCACATAAAATTAGCCATCAGACAGGTCCAATCATCATTGAACTTGATTCATTAATTTATTCAGAAAATATTTATGAGCATCATCTGTGTCCTAGGTACTATTCAAGGTGCAAGGAATATCTGAGTGAACTAAACAAAGTCCCTGCCTTTATGGGGCTCACATGCTGCTGGGGGAGACTGTCAGGTAGTGATATGTGCTGTGAAGAAAAATTAAAACAAGTGGAGTCTGATGAGGATGCTATTCTAGATAGAAGTCAGGGAAGGCATCTTTGAGCTGTCACTTGAGAAACACCCAAATGAAGAGAGAGAGTGAACCATTTGAATAGTTAGAGGAAGAGTTTTCAGTCTGCCTGAAGAGTAAGGAGGTGCAAAGCCCCTGGGGTGGGAATGTGCTAGGTGTGTTCAAGGAACAGCAGAGAGACCAGTATGGGAGAAGCTGATTGAGTGAGGCTGAGAGAGGTAGGCAATGAAGCAGGGCCTTGTGGGAGGCTTAAGAGCCTCTTTTCTGAAGCATTGAGAGAGGGTCCAAGGAAAGACTGGAAAATTAATTAATTAATTTTTGGCTGCATTGGGTCTTTGTTGCTGTGCACGGGCTTCTCATTGCGGTGGCTTCTCTTGTTGCGGAGCACGGGCTCTAGGCACGCAGGCTTCAGTAGTTGTGGCAGGAGGGCTCAGTAGTTGTGGCTCGCGGGCCCTAGAGTGCAGGCTCAGTAGTTGGGGTGCAGGGGTTTGGTTGCTCCGCAGCATGTGGGATCTTCCGGACCAGGGCTTGAACCCGTGTCCCCTGCATTGGCAGGAGGATTCTTAACCACTGTGCCACCAGGGAAGTCCCCTGATTGTTTAAGTATTATCTGTGGCTACTTTTGCGTTACGGTGGTAGAGTTGAGTAGTTGCAGCAGGGACTGTATGGACTGCAAAACCTAAAATATTTACTCTCTGGTCCTTTACAGAAAAAGTTTGCCCACCCCTGTGATATAGTCTGTGAGAGAAATGTATATTTCTTCTAGTAACATGATTTTAACTCTGTTTCTTGCAAAGGAAGAATCCTGGCCTTATTATGCTAAAACATTCTCCTCTGCTTGGCTTGGTCCCTTCATTATGGGGGTCCCACATAAACTGACAAGGGCTATGGCTGAACTATCTGGTTAAATGGCATCATAGTAACCTAGTTTCTCTCTAATCCCCAAGATTCTCCCTGGAGAGGAGGAGTGGGGGCTGAAGTTCAGCCTGCCACACCTGTAGTCTTCAGTTAATTTTTTGGTGTGTGACTCACGGCTGTTAACAGAAATGTGTGTGGTCAAAACAATGTGGAGGATTTATCCAAACCATCAGAGGGAAAAGTGTTAACATATGTTCACAGACAGATGAGTATCTTTAGAAATGCTCAAAGAGAAACGAAACATGATTGCCATCAGAGGTTGTACTTGGATGTATGTTTTACAAATAGATCCATATTTTAAAAATATTTTAATATGAATGCTAATGGATTTGACATGTGTGTTAGGGAGAGAACACTGGAATCTTAGAGTTGACTGCAACTTGGAGAGATCATACCTCCGCATTCGTGACATGCCAAGTTTAAAAATTTCTCTTGTGCTGACCATCGGTTACAGTATATAACATCTGCAGTAGGCATATGTTGTTTTCCAATTGCTTCTTCCTTTGGTGAGTTGCTCCTGTCTCATTTCATGCAGTCTTGTTGGGCGTGTGACTGGGACTGATCCATAAATGTACCCTATTCCTCTGGTCACAGTTAATGGTCCAGGGAATGCATGTGACCCCAACTGGAGCATCCTTCCTTGTCTTGTGTGCTTTGGTTGCTGGTATCCTTATTTTCTTCTTTACCTTCCTAAGGTCTCTGTTTTACCCCAGAATGATGATGAGTTCTAATTTGCACTGGATAACTGGAGTAGATTGTAAAATATATTTAAAATATTATTTAAATTTTAAAATGCTATTGTATTTTATAGTGGGAATGGATGTAACAACTTCGCTCATTCCACAGACTCTTCTGTCCTGTGACTTTGTCATGCTCTGTCACGAGGTGGAGTATAATACTGCTCTTAAACATGTGCTGGCCTTAGTGACTAGTTTGACTGAGAATATACCAAAGTGATCAATGATAAGCTTGATAAAATTGCATCCTCATGTATCCAGCACCCAGATGAAGTAATGGAACATTACCAGCCCCCAGAAGTCTCCTTCGTCCACTAGCCACCCCAGAGGTTAGCTCTGGTTTGATTTCTGAAACCATTGCTTAATTTTGCTTGCTTACAAGCTGTATATAAATGGTATCTTTGGTGTCCGGCTTCTGTTGCCCACTTCGTGAGATTCATTCATGCTGTTGTGTGGGGTTGTACTTGTTCATTCTCATGGCAGTATTCTGTTGTATGAATGTGCTATAATTTATTCATCTCATCTACTGTTGATAGGCACTGGGTTAGTTTCCAGGGCTGGGCTATTATGAATGGTGCTGCTAAAAATATCCTTGTCCACGTCTTTTGGTAAACATATGTACATAATGCTGTTCAGTATATACTAGGAGTGGAAGTGCATATGTTCATCCTTCGTCCGTACGGCCAGTTTTCCAGAGAGGTGGTACCAATTCACACTCCCACGGGCTGTGTTAGAATTCTAGGTCAACGTTTTGCCCAACATTTAGTATTGCCTGTCTTTTTCATTTTAGCCATTCAGTGGGTGCTAATTTCAAATTGTCAAGAGACTAACACTAATCAGTTGGATATCAGAGAGAATCAGTAGATGCCATTCTTTAAGAGGTAGCAAAATTTCCATAATTTTTAGGAATTTTTGGAAAATGTTTTTGTACTATGTTATCATGTGTAAATATTTTATGCATTATTTTATAAATGTCCATATCATTGCAGTGTCTATATTTTGAGGGTACATGCCTACTTTAGACCGTAAAACTACTGATATGAACAGAGTGGCCCTCAATTTAGGAAGCTTCCCAGATTTAGGCCTCATCAGTGAGCGCCTCGCACTGTGGTGGGAGAAATATTATTTAAGTTTCCCAGGCATCCCCAGCTTGGGGCTAAAATTAAAGTCACAATAACCATCCTTTATGAAATAATATTTCTTTGGTTCCTAGTCTGTCTACTCTATGAAATTGTAGCCCCTGTTTATTCCTCATGCTAGTTCAGTGCATACTCATGGATGACATCCATATGCTCAGAAAGGCAAGGGCAAGGCACCCGCTGTCTTTGGCTCTCCTGCTCTCCCTTGCTTGTCGGGTCACTGCCCAAACCTGGGGCAGCAACCATGCTGACACCCGCCGAAGGTGCTGGGACCACCGCTGACCACTGACGTCCCACCCATCTGCAGTGCCAACTGCACCTTCTCTGTCGCTGCTGAAATTGCTGGCACAGGATTTTGCTAACACTTGCATCTTCGATGTCCCCTGGAGATTTTAATGAAATAGCTCTTTTTAGTTTCACTGGCTGTTTACAGCCATGGAACTTGGGTCGCAGGATGTTGGGGGTGGCCAACACTGGGCAGTACTGAGAATTGTCCCTCCCCTCTGGCTCTGTCTTGATGTCATGGAACCCAATTTGTGTACTTTGACTTTCTCTTCCTTCAGGGTGAGTTTCTTCCCAGGAGAACTCTGGCCTCTTCTGGGAAACAATCCTGACAAGATTATCTCACCCTCTGCTAGCTGTGCTCAAGTATGTCTGAGTCCCGAGTGCTTAGTCTCAAGCTGGGGTGACCTCATGTCCGGTTTAAACC